TAAATAAGTCACTTCTGTGAGTGACAATTCACCTTAATCAAATGCATACAATTGAATTTTGTCGTAATGAAACGTTTTAAGAAGATTCAACTTGATTCGTTTTTCAGTTAATTTGTTAATCAAGACAAAAACAATCATGTGTCCATTTGTGTATCTGTTAGCAGTTCAAACTCTTTTCTTATCTTTCCTAATTTCCATCTTGAAAATACCAGTTGGCAAGTCAGGGTGTAAACTTCTTATCAACTATTATTTGGGGCGAAACATTTTACATATTCAGTAATCCACTCATATAATTTTCACCCCTATTTTGCCTTTGATGGAATCTATTTTGTTGGATAATCGGTAATCTGGCACCGATGTTTCATATTCAATATTTTTGTTTTGTTTATTGAAGTATAAATATAAAACCCACTGCACACACTTTGTGCAAATCTGCTACACAAATTTACACAATATGCACTGGATTTTACATTTATACCTCCATACTGCAAAAATATATTGAAGTCAATTCACACACTCCATGGTTTCTTGCCACTGCATTTGGATTTCCCAAAGGAAGCGGGATGTCTTCCAAATTATATGTTGTCCAACACAAAGGTATGAATAAAAACCAAGACAATATTCATTATCTTTTTTATTACACAGGCAACAGAATCTTTCCATAATAGAGAGACACATATGAGTACACCTGTACTGAGCTATCTGTCACAGAAAATACAGAATATAAGAACTAATATGCAGGAAATAGAAACTATTCTAATTACTAAGAGGACATTACCAGCACATATGACACGCACTATCACCAGACATTACATATTTCTACAGCACTAGATGTATAGTTTTCAAGAATATAGTAATTATTTTGGTTTCAAGAGGTTAGGAACACAGACATTTTGTTACTTAATTGGGTCCTGAAACCAACAACAAACTGAACAGTAACACAAATAACAGAATAATAAAGTATCATCAAAGATTGTTTTCTGAATTGTGGTAATAAAGTTAGATGTTTAAGTCATAGAGTTGTCAACTTCAAATATCACTATTATGCAGAGTATTGTCATCCATTTTCTCAAGTATCAGTTTGGTGTCAAAGTAACTTCAACCCATGATGTACATGTATGTCCAAAACAAAGGCTTATCATCTGAACATGTACGTTTTCCTTTCAATTAATAAGCATTTTGTAGATATTTATACACGACAAGGACAGATAACTCTAACAATAATTCAAGGCATGACAAGTGTCAGTTGAAATTTGATCAATTTCTGCCCAAACCAGAAACAAGATACTTCTTGGCCAAGTCTTTAGCTAACATCACATTGAAGATACAATATGTGGAAGCATCTCCCACATCGTCCAAGTTGGAGGTAACAGAACTCCTACATCAGCCACTGCACATACAAACCCTGTTTCCTGAGTATCATCAAGCAACATAGAGCATCAACTAAAGCTGTCTATACCTGAAGCAACGCTGCACAATAGAGTCCCAACCTCCATAACTATCCAGCTTCACCAAAAACTTGTGAGGGTGTTGCTGAACACAACGCAATATTGTTCCTATATCACAGAGTCCAATAAATAATCAAGTCTGGACTAAGCACGAGTCTACTTATTTTTTCATAAGTGAAATCGAGCTCCAAATACAACAGTTCCATGGTAACACTGAATACTCATCATTTGACAACATCTCTAAGCACATATAAAGAAACAATCCCTGCCTTGACCCTCAGACTATGCCTATCAAGGTTGAGTATCCCTATCTAAAGTTGAGTAGTGTATAACATCTTCAAGAACCTTTAACAGCAGTTTGTCAATTACATATGTTAATGTTTAAAATTATTCCTCAAAGGTATGATTGGCATTGTCATAACTAAAGCTGTGTTCTGGAGTACCCATCCAATTCTGCAACATTTTCAAGTTCAAGAAATCTTTCCTCTTTCTACCATTCAACGGCTCAATATACACTTTAATGATTTACTGAGGATCTATGTGTTACAAGAGATGATGAGGATGAACACAAATATGACATTTACTATTTGTGACATGGTTCCACAAGATAAAATGCTTCTACAATTAAATACAGGCAATGAAAATATCTTAATCCTTCTACAAACTGTAAGTAAGAGGCTACTAACAGATCGGGTGGTCAGGCTTGCTAACTCCGTTGATGCATGTTACCATATCCCAATTTTGAATATCATTAATCATGATGTCAATCACTGGACTGTCTGTTCCAGACTTGATTATTTACAGACCGCCATCATATAGCTGAATATTTTGACTGACTGCGGTGTTTAACAACAAACAAACAAACTGTAAAACAGTTCCCCTTTGTATTGTTACCTGAGTTCTGTCATGTTTTGAACGTATCAACAATGCACAAAGGACGCCATAAAGGACAGGCTTTCTCTCCACTGAAACACTTGACTAGATCATTTTCACATCTATTCAAGACTGATTCCAATGAATCTCATCTTCGACAACAGCCTTGCTGAGACTGCTCTTTTGTAATACCCTGAATGCAACAAATCATGGGGAAAATGGCAATTAAACCAACCCATATGCATGAGTATTTCAGTTTTTGAAATCAACACACAAAAAACATGACATTTATAACATCCAGACACCAGGACTATATACAATATATGTAATAAATGCTATTTCCCTTGGTTGAATTCTGCATTAATTTATTATTCCAAAGCAGTAATCAAGAACAGGCATCAAGAGTTTTTGCAGGTAGGCTTTTGCAATTCTGAAATACTGATTCTTTTAACTGTTTGCCTGTAAATCAACACTGACATGCAATAGAACAAAATAAGAACGAAGCTCTTGAGATACAGATGACTGACCACTTCCTTATGAAATATTCTTGACATCAAACATAGGCAGTCTGGATCACACTCTCCTTAAATCATTAACTTATGATTAGGAAATGTCTTCAGAGTAAGTGTTGAGGTCTTCAAAGTCCCTCACATGTCTTTTCGTTTCGTTTATTCCATTATGCATGAGAACCAAGAAAATCCTTTAGACTGATGATGCTTTTGGCAATAGATTTTGAAAGTTGGCAGGACATAAATCTGCAAATACAAACTTCCAATAATGCCCACCTTCAACCAGAGAAGTAGATCAATTTGAATGATTGGAAATGAGGAAACAAAGAAAAACATTTGAGTCAATTCCTTACAAATACAGCAGCCACAAATTAAGAAAAGGCCAAAACATTAAGGAAGAAAGGCCAAAAGAACTTTCCTTGTCAAAAAAATAATATTTAAAAAAACAGCTTCTTAAAATCCAAAATAATTCGAAAAATTAATCACAAGGACATTATATTTAGACTTGGTATGTTTGTCATCTTTTAATTGTAACTGCAAGAAAGCAACAAAGGCGAACCACAGAATAGTGTTCCAAGATAGTCACAAAACATATGTTTACTTTCTAATGGTTCTCAAAAAATCTCATAAGATACTTAGTATTAGTACTAGTTTAGTATTAGTACTAGTACTTACATCATGATGTTGGCATCACTGCAGGGGCTTGTTAGGTACACAGACACCTCAATATCTAAACTGATCTAGACTCCACAATATTAAAAGGTATACATACCCTATAATGTCTATATATGTATACAGATCCACTTATATCTAAGTGTACACAAACTCTAATGAGAGCTAGAATATACAACCAATTGTTTCCAACTGGTTATAGCATAAAATTCAAGAGTTACAACACTCTTGTTCCAAACAGAGCTATGACACTTTTCCAATCTCTGGAAATGTGAACACTACAACAGAATAATGCTCAATCTTGACTACCTGGCAGGAACAATGCTATTCAAGGTTTGCCAATAGATGTCTCCTTATGATGAAAACAGATCATAATCAGCATTATATTATGCTCCATGAACAATGTCTTCATCCATGGGGGGGCGCGGGTGGCCCAGTCGTCCAAGGCGCCGCGATTCGCTGTGCAGAGTTGCGTCCCTTGGGCACGCCAGAAACCTATGATTGTGGGTTCGAATCCCGGTTCGCCCCGATTATGTTTCTAGGTTTGTCAGCACCATACCCGTGCTCGTGCATCACTTCGGGCTTTCCTTCCACATTAAGCTGACATGCCGAGATATTACTGGAATACTGTTGAAAGCGGCGTTAAACCCAACTCACTCACTCACTTCATCCATGGACTGGTTCTCAAAATGACCTGATACAGATTCACAGAAAACTACGTTGTTTTATTGGGTAGTCCATCCTCCAAGACAACTATGCATACGGGACTGGGGACCTGTTCTTGTCCTTCAAAGTTTGCCTTGAAACAGGCAATTCTTGGCTCAAAGTAACCAACCAACAGATTGATATCCTTGGGTTGAGTGCAATTTGTTTTGTTTGGAAAGAAAACATTTTGTGAATCTTTTGCACAGTTCCTCCTTTTATTTCGGGAAATGTCAGGATTCAAACCCGGGTCATCGAGCGAACGCTTTAACCACAAGGCTACCCATCGCCCCCAATGTTTCATGAAGATGCAGTCAAACACTGTTGTGTCAAACTTATATTTGTCTCAAATTAAAAGCTCCATCCTGCGTATTCCTTCAATATTCATCAATTTTGGTTGCGTCAAATATCAGATAACTCAAAATATTTAATATGTGCAGTAGTTGTTTTTTCATTATTGTCATCATTATAACAAATTTGACCAGCAAGTTGATATTTTCAAGACTTTTAAGACAGAGAAAGATGGCATCAAATCTTTGTTTAGTTTACCAAAAGGTTACCAAAAAGGTAAGAAAGTGGATTCAGCTAAAATATCTGATTAACAAGATATACTAGGCTAGAGTGCTTACTTCATTGCTCATAGATTATTCCATCTCTAATCAACCAATGTGGACAGCAACAATGTTTTCTTGCATAATGGATCCGCCAAACTGATTTTACCCTGATTTCGAGATAAAAAAACATTATGCTTAAAAAAATAATTGCACCCACAACGCAAAGACAGGGATCGTTTTCACAATGGAAGGGAAGCAACTCTTCTGCAATTGTCACTTGCCATCAGCAGAAGTGTATGCTGCATCTCTAGCATTCGAATCACTTACTTCCTGCTGATTACGGTCATATGCACATATGTGCATCACTAAAATGATGCCTAATTGAGGCTGGTTGCAGTTTGTTTTCATTATTGTTTGCGTTTGTCATAAGGTAACATAAGGTGAAAATACATTAGCCGAACAGTCACAAAGCTAAACAGCTATGTTATTCAAATAAAAAAAGCAGAAATGACACAGTTGGTGACTCGCCATCGAATGTCATGGTTACTGCTGTGTCGAATTTATGGCTTCAATAAGTTTTGCATCTTTGCAAAGGTTGTTCTTTCCCCCCTCAATCATAATATTTTGACCCAAAGAAATTGTAATGCATCATACAAGGAAAAATTGGCCTGGCCTAAATACAAAATAGCTCAAACCTTGGTTGCTTTATAGCAGAGGGGGTTTATACCGCTGACCGGAAATAGTAAACACTTTTATAAAATCACCTCATTTACTGTTGCTATCAATATAAATAAAATTATTTTAAATACCATAATTAAAACCTTTTGAAAACTTATCTTAAAAACTTGAAATCACAACAAATTATGACAAATCGGGAGAGGACATAAAAAAATGTATTTGAAATTGGAATTTTTTACTATATATTTTTTTCAACCAATTAACCTGAATACTTAAAATACCAAGCTTCACATTATTCATTTTGAACTAACCATATATATTAGGTAGGTTGTAATAAAAAGAATCAAATTCAAATTGGTTTGGGCTTTGCAGGATAGGGGTTGGGGTGGGTGTCGGAGGAATTCTGTGAATGTTCATTTATCTGATCAAATACAGAGCCATCTGCCAACTAAAATAAATTGAACCAAATATCTTTTATTGTACTTTCTGATAGTCTGTCGAATCTGAAAAATTGAACACCCCCAAAGTGTTGCATAAGGTGCCTGAATTTAAAGCTCGGATACACATCACAAACAACAATGGCAAATTAAATGTCTTGCCTGATGCAACAATAATCAGTTGCCCTTATTTGGTTTATTGCACATGTTGTTTTAAAATCAAAACATCCAAACAAAACAAAACCAATAAAATGAAACACAGACAAAGAAGCTAAAAATGATTAGTTAAGAAATATTTTTTGGAGATTTGTGATATTTTGACAAAATGTGGTTAGACATTGTTGTCTGTTGTAGTTTTCCTTTGGCTATCAAAAAACAAAATTGCAAAAAAATGGTATTTTCCTGACACAGGTCATTTTCAGGAATAAATTATTATGTGATATGTCTCAAACCTTCAATGACTACTGAACATTCAGAGCTATAAAAGTGCTACTCTATGGTACAGCAACAAACCATCAATGCCCACACGATATCATACTAAATCTACATGCAATCCTGTCATTACGGACAATGACGGTTCAGAAACATCGTCCTCGGGACAAAGGGTAGAAATGAAAATCTAACTGTATTCAATTCCTATCATGAAAAGCTGATACCTGACCTTGAAACCTTCAATACAATTTTTTAAATATTTCTTCCCCAAAATGCATTGATCTAACAATCAAGATGTTCATTAATCAGGTGAATTGCCAAAATGGAGGGGCAAGGACAGGGTTTCAAAAATTGCACACAGACAAGTATTAACATAATATTCAAAACATACAAATGAATATGCTGTCGATTGACTAGGGCTTTGGTCATTGCGTAATATCAATTTCCTCTCTCACAACTGAGGTGAGAGAAACACACTTTTCTTCACAATGATGAATATCAAAGGTTCTATATATTTAAGAACAGAAACACCTTCTGTATAACTGCACAAAAGATAAAAATACCATCAGCCATGTGATATGAGTCTGTGTCAATCACACATGAACAGCCTTTCCCATAAAGCAATGAAAAAATCTTGAATTTGCAATAATACTTGAAATGATGGTATCATATAACACCTTTTGAAATAAAATAAACTAAAAAGTTAAAAGGGGGGTAAAACATTCAAAAACAAATTATGAATCTATTGTGTCCAGTAACAATGAAGGGTACAACTACCACTGAAATCTCCTTTTGATGATGCGGAAGAACTTTTCATTATATGGACGAAAGAAAACTCGTAGCTTGTCAACAACATCTTTACTTATGTTAGGGTGTTTTCTCCCCTTCCCATGAGCTAAGCACCGTTCCTCACCCTCCTCCGTGAGCGTACAAAACACACCTCGGGAAACATTGAACACAAAACGATTCTTGCCGATCTTGTGTTCCAGCCCAAGATAGGATTCCACCTTGCGAATCTCAGCCCAAGGCCTAACCCGTAAGTTGTCTCCATCAATAATGTGTATCTGCTTCAGAGGGAAGAAATGAAGCCATTTCAGTAAATGGCGATGGTATATTGAGCGCTTAACTGCAATGTAAGACTTGTTTATTTCACCCGTCTCTGGAACCAGAACAAGCTTCTCAAATGGCTGCATCTTCTTGTGTCGCTTGACTTTATTATCCAATAACTGGGCATAGTCAGAAATAGTCCTCTCTACTGGGTCGCGCACAATGAGCAGGAGACGTACCGAGTTGTTCATAACGTACACTCGCTCCGGCGCAACGCTTTCTGTGAAATACGCTGGGGACTTTTCTATTGTGATTTGATCCTTGAAAGAGTATGGCATCTGATGGCGATACCAGTCGTAACCCAGTTGGTAGTTGTTGTCCCTGTCGAAGAAATGAACCTCTAAACTTGCTCCTTGGACGTCTGGGTGAATACGAATGAACTGGAGAAGGGCGCGTGTCCCTGCTTTGCGAGCACCGATGATCAAGCACTGAGGTAGGCGACGTTTGGCATGATGGAAATGCATGCGATCATTAAAACTTAAGCTGGTATTGTCCCCTTCTCTGAACGAAAACAAACAGAGAGTGGCCGAATGTATGAAGTTGTAGTTCAGACAAGACAGGGAGATGAAGATGATGGAGAGGATGATGATGATGATGATGGCGACCTTGTAGCGAGAGAACTTCGGGTACCATAAGCAGGCCCTTGGGGTAGCACTTTCCGTGAAGCGGGTGGATTTCTTCCAAGTCATGGTTCATCTGTAACAAAAATACTAGGTTAGATTTTCTGGGTTGAACATATGTACTACATGATTCGAGCCAGTCAATCGCTGTTACTGCAGTGGCTGTAAGATTGTATGACAAGAGTGGTGACTTTGACTTTCCTAAGTAAACTTTCCCTTTGTGTCGAGCAATATTCCAGCAGTTCCAGCCTTTGGTGTCTACATTCACATCATATGAGGTACAACCAGGCATGCTCTTTCTACAAACATTCCACACAGCGTCATATGACTCTTGCTCCGAAGTTGTTTGATCAAGGTTACAACATTATATGTATCAGTAAAGCTTTCAAAACAGTATATGGCAGACATGTGTATGACATTTTAAAATTTTAAGCATCACTGACAAAAATGATATCTCAAGTCATTCCCTATTTTGATTTGAGCCAAATGTTCCCATTGTTTCAGGTGAACAATTGACTTGCCTTTGCATGTGTTTGTGGCATGTGCCACAGTTGGGGCAGCATACGCTCACCTATTCACAAATACCTTGTATCATAACTATTTGATAGTGATTCATAAACACATTAAAATATAATCGGAATCATAAAAAGGACTTTGCTTTCAGTTATATTTCAGTTACAACAATATGGTCCGAATATAATCGAATCTGGGCCAGGCAAACCAGGGACTGAAAGCATGAGCAATGATCAATGCCACCATGGCACATTGCTACATGTCATCAGTTAAGCCAGACAACATGACCTTCATTTTAGTTCTTCCCACAAACATGAGGTCATGGGGACTTGAAACTCCCACAGGGACTGAACTGATTGCAAAGTGAAGTAAAACTTCTACTACCACTTGATTTAATTTTTATATCAAACTTAGACAAATAACATGCTGCATTTGTTATAATAAGTGCCCAGATGCTTAGAAAATTGACAAAAGGGAGCACTTAATAAAATCCTACACAACAAGTTACATCTCTCACTCAACAAATTTGTCTAAACATTGACAAAACTAAACGTTTTTGATAATCGATACTGAGCAATTACCGTATTCGACGTAATAAGCCCACGGCGATATTTGCTAATATATTGGCTAGTGAACAAACCCAATTAGCACCCCTTCCGATTGATCAATGTACGCAAGACTTATTTATTCGTGTATAATACGCACTCATAAATTATATGTACCTTTAATTATAGGCAATTAAATTCGGGACAAATATATCTGTCGTATATAAACATTTCAGGCTGTCAGCATAAACTTCGAAATTTATGATCTTTCAGCTCTGTTTTTTTTTTTCACCAGAATAATATTCTAATAAGAACCCCCTATTTCTAATTTTGAGAGCACCCTGGGTGCTTATTACTTTAAATATGGTATTTTCCCCTTCTTCACTGCTTTTTTCTGCTGAAACATTATTTAATAACATGTAGAAATATGGACTGCCATGTTAATGTTCTGATTTAGTGGGGGCTCTTACAAAAACTATACTTACAAAAAGGTCCAGAAGTTGGTCAGGGAGCACTTTAATATTGGAGCAAGGCACTTAATACAGTGAATAGTGTAACTAACACTGAGCTGCTTTCATATTGAGAAGCATCTCCCAGAAGTCTTTTGAATAATAGTTCATTGGCTAAATCATTCTGTTATTATCAATGACTTATCAAGGTTAAACAAATGTTATACTTTCTAAGTAAAGTACAAATTCTCTTACAGGGATTCGAACCCAGACTGCCAGACTGAGGCAACAAATCCCCAGCACACAAAGTCAGCGATCTAACCCACTCAGCCACTGAGGCTTCCACAACACAATGCCATTTAGAAGTGGTCAAATGTAATTCAATGTCTCAGTCAACATATAAAGAGTTACCTCCCCTGCACCAGACACCCACACTGAGTCACGTCCCTCATAGTTGCAGGTCCCTCCACACACACATACGAGACAGTAGTGGTAGGGTAGCCTTGTGGTTAAAGTGTTCGCTCATCACGCCAAAGACCTGGGTTCGATTCCCAACATGGGTACAAGTGTAAAGCCCATTTCTGGTGTCCCCAACTGTGATAATGCTTGAAAATTGCTAATAATGACACATAAACTCACTCACTCACTCACACCAACTATTCAGTACACTTTGTTTTCAAGAAACAAACAGAAACATCAACAATGTTAAAACCACAAATTAACTCCCACGAAACAATTTGCTATTTCATGTGACTTAAACTAGTTGTGATATTCATTTATCTCAATCCTGGCCAAGATGACGTCCATGTGGCAGAGACTAAGTTCAGACACTTGCCTGATGACCACTAGATTTGGGGGCACAGGTGGCCCAGTCGTCTAAGGCGCCGCCATTTGCTGTGCAGAGTTGCGTCCCTTGGGCACGCCAGAAACCTATGATTGTGGATTCAAATCCTGGTTCGCCCCGATTATGTTTCTAGGTTTGTCAGCACCATACCCGTGCTCGTGGGTTTCACCGAAGTGGTAAACGTCTGAGACCTGCAATACTTCGGGCTTTCCTCCCACATTTAGCTGACACTCCATTAAATAACTGGAATAATGTAAAAAGTGCTGTTAAACCCAACTCACTCACTCAGTTTGATTTACAAATCTAATGAAGCATCATAAAATCTTCAATTTCTAACCATGAAATTCCCCAATACATCCCATGTTCCCAAACACCTAAAACAGCACTTAATCTCAGCTGGGTATCAACATGGCTACGGTAAATGTGGGAGATGTCTTTGCTACAACAGCAAAGTAGAGACACGTGTGAGCTGCATCCATTGTTAAGTGGAATACTGTGTCCTCCCATTACCTGTTTCTCAGTGAGGATGTTATTCTGTGCTTCGACTAGTTTGTTTACCATGAGATGAAAGGCCTGAAGCAATACACTGTTAGATAAACTCACTGAGTCTATTAAAATCCAAGCCCAGCTGAATATTCTCTGCAATCAGAATCAACCAACTCCCCAACCAGGAAGCCAATGACTATTTTATCTTGTATGAGAGCTCTATTCTATTTTGATACATGTATCAAATTTTGGATCTATTAATATTATTGTTGCAGTTGATGATGATTATTGTTTATCATCATCATCATCATCATCATCATCATACGTCTTCAGCAACCAATGCCTGCCGTAAAAGGCGACTACGCTTGTCGTAAGAGGCAACTAACAGGATCGGGTGTTCAGGCTTGCTGACTTGGTTGATGCATGTCATCGTGTCCCAATTACGTGGATCGATGCTCATGATGTCAATCACTGGATTGTCTGGTCCAGACTCGATTATTTATAGACCACCGTCATATAGCAGGAATATTGCTGAGTGCTGTGTTAAACAGCAAACAAAAAAACAAACCAAATCATTATCATCATTGTTAATAAATATTTCAAAATGAAAAGGTCATGAAACAAAACAAGCAACACAAGGTTAGCAAGTGTGCTGCGTCTTATGCCTCAGTCAGCAACATTTTCACTACATCACAGTGTCCTATAAACAATCAAGACAGGGCCAGGCCAACTGGTGGTTCACAGCATTAGCAACCATCCACCACAATAGGGCGGAGTGACATGGAATGACCACTCAATCCACAATTAATTTTTATGACCATCATTGGGTTCTGGACAGAAAACCCACTGATAAACACAAATTGAAGTACTATATACTCTTACAAACAGACAGACACATGCTTCGAGTAAGTGAGCAAGGCCGTAGTTAACTTTTTTTTGACAGGGGGGGCAATATTTGTACAAGTATCACTTGTCCCCAACTTGTATTTTCATGATTCAAATAAAACTGTTTTCTATAAAAAATCCAGGGCATTGGTGAGTGAGTTTGGTTTAACAGCGCCTTGAATAGTAATGCTTTGAACAGTAATTCAGCCATATCCCAACATCTCAGCTCGATGTGGGAGGGAATCCTAGAGTGATGCAGGTCATAGATGAAACCCTCCATCACAAACCTAAAATGATCATAGGTTTCTGGCACACCAAAACCAAAACCAACCTCTGCATAGTGAATTTCAGTATCTTAAATGGCTGGATAGTCTTGCGCCATGACTGTGGAATCCATACATGTATATATTATTTTTTTATTACTTAAAGCCTAGGCAAGTCTAGATCAAACTAAAGCAAGTCTAGGTTCTTTGATTCCAGAAACAGCAGAAGAGGGAAAAAAAATTATTCTAAAGAAATGTTTTCGTTGACTACATGTTGTCAAATGGCTGGTGACCATGAGCTGTATGAACCAATAAAACCTAATGACATGTTCATACATGAAAGGGGGCACAGGTGGCCCAGTCGTCTAAGGCGCCGCAATTCGCGGTGCAGAATTGCGTCCCTTGGGCACGCCAGAAACCTAGGATTGTGGGTTTGAATCCTGGTTCGCCCTGATTATGTAGGTAGGTTTGTCAGCACCATACCCCTGCTCGTTGGTTTCATGATGAAACTTTCATCGAAGTGGTAAACGTCTAAGACCTGCTTTCTTCCCACATTAAGCTGACACGCCATGATATAAATGGAATACTGTTAAAAGCGGCGTTAAACCCAACTCACTCATACATGATAAATCATATGGCTTTTGTACCATGGCTACCCTAAAGACCATATTTCCAATCAGTTGGAGTGAGTGAATGAGTAAAAGCTTACACTTATTTTAGCAACATTCCAATATCAATATGTGGGGAACGCCAGAAATGGGCATAACATTTGTACCATGCGTAGAATCAAACCCAGGCCTCAAGTATGATGAGTTAACGCTTCAACTACTAGGCTACCCCACTGCAACCTCATTCAGTTTGAATGTTTCAAGTAGTAGATTCTTGTTAACTAACATCTGACATTACTGTTGTTATTCTCAAGGAACATTTTAGAATGTTGTGTTAAAGATATAATCACACCAATGTATAACAATTTATACCTCACAAGATGACAATAAGATTGTGCATCAACTGCTGAAGATAAATGTCATTCTTAAGCATTGATCATATGAGGAAACAACCCTTGTAATCATATTTATCATTTGAAATGATGGACTATGATTGGTTGAATTCTTCTGAGACACATCATTTTATTTTAAGTAATTGAAGAGGTTCCTTCAGACAGCAGTGAGAAGATATGAGATGAGTCATCGAAAGCTATATATCCTGAGCATCAATCTCCAGGCACACATGGGTTCAAAAATACTGCTACTGAGACAAAGAAACAGAGAGACAGTCCACCGATTAAAAGTTAATCTGAAGAGTCAATAATAAATAACAAAAAGCACCAATTCCGCAATGTTTATGTGTGTGCAAATTTAATGAGTGAGTTTGCTTTGAACAGTATTTCAGCTATATGTCAATGTGTGTCTGCAGGAGGAACTTCAAATTTAGTGAACACATTATTGAAATGTTCATTGTTATGTGCCAGATACAATGTCTGTCCGATTACAGAGGGACGGGAAGCCTTTTATCCATATCAAAAAGTTTATCCACGCATTTGCAAGATGTTACTGTGCCATGATTAGATGGGAACCGATATCCAAGATGAATTATATTGAGATAGCCATGTGAAGGAAGAGAAGCGACATTTTGAAAATTCCAAGATCTACCAAATCATATTTACCGTATTCGGCGTAATAAGCGCCCTGCTCTAATAAGCGCCCACAGCTAGTGAACCATCCCAATTAGCACCCCTTACAATTTATTCGCGTATAATACACACTCCTGTGTTATATGCATCCTTAATTACAGGCAATTAAATCCTGAAAAATATATCTGTTGTACATAAACATTTCAGGCTGTCACCATAAACCATGAAATTTATCTTTCAACTGTTTTTTTTTCAGCAAAATATTATTCTTAAAGAGCCCCCTATTTCTAATTTTGAGAGCGCCCTGGGCGTTTATTACGTCGAATACGGTAGTTTGAATGTTTGTTTGTTGTTAAATGCTACATTCAGCAATATTCCAGCTGTAGGATGGTGGCCTTTTAATAACCTGCACCAGACAATACAGTGATCGATATTGTAAGCAATGATCCATTCCATTGCGGAATGATTTCATGCAATTAACCAAGTCATCGAGTCTGCCGCTATTATTTCCATAATGTAGCAGTGGATACACTTATTTCATTGAATGTCAACTTTAAAAAAGGATTCCAGATTGAAAAAAAAAAACGGTGCTGTTTCGGAAAACAAGATGGCTGCCACCACAATAACAGGTAATTGATGGGTGTAGCTTGTAACATTATCAATGATCTTATTCTTCTGAACAGAATGTACACAATGCCTACCAAACTAAAGTCAAGTTTGCCTTATCTAAACTCTTGACTGTATCTACCTTTATAACAAAAAGTATTTTCAGGAAAACTGATTTAAATATGTCAATATGCTGATATATTTATTCTGTGTTTTTCAAGAACTGTCAACAGAAAGTGAATCAATTGTTATCTTTTAATTCACTTTTAAGAGCAGTTCACATGCTTATCTTAATATTTGTGAGGAAAATGTATTGGACCTCCAATAACACAGCCTTTGAGCATAGGATCAGCAGTTGCAGAAACATTATAGAATTGTATAAACACACAACACGGTTTGTTAATAACTAATGGGACCCTTTCAAACAGTTTGTCCTATCAATGAGTCTTCCCACTCCCCCCAACGGAATACATTTTATGATGGTTATCAATGAATGTTGCCTTGTCAACTTGCTGTTTCTGGTTTGTTGGACATTGTTCTTTTTCTACTGACAAGGGATATGAAAAAAAATACCTCTGATTACAAACAATAATGAAAGCTCTTTATTTGCTTTTTAGTACAGGCAACTTTGTCTCATAAATACTTGACTCCCTGGTCAAACTGTTCAAATCTTTTTTTCATTTAAATATTCATCAACACAAAATCTAATAAATGTGTGTGGAGAGACATTTATTTCAATTATTGTTTATCTTAAACAACTGTTCAGGCAACTGTGTACATTACTTGTTGATGGATAAGATTTATGTGAAGTATTAATGTTTGGTAGACAATTTTCTTTGTCTGTAGGTACTTTTGGGAATTAATATGCTGTGAGGTAGGATGCTTGGTTGTAAAACAGGCAGGGAAGGAAAATCAAATATTTAAGTTATAGCCTTAGTGCCATCTTTGTCTAATTAGGATTCAACATATTTGTTTCATTTTCATTGGAACCCAAATATTTGTTTTATTTCACAGGAAACACAGGAAAGAATAAGATGAAAATACGAGTGAGTGAATGAGTATGGTTTTACGACTCTTTTAGCGATATTCCAGCAATATCACGGCGGGGACTTCACACATTGTACCCATGTCGGGAATCAAACCCGGGTCTTCGGCGTGACGAGCGAACACTTTAACCACAAGGCTACCCCCCGCCCCTGATAAAAATAAGAAGAAAATGTTGAAAAATATCTCCAAATTCACACCATCCACAGAATTAGCTATAACAGGTCAGCTTGTAACAATATTTCGACGAGACCCTCCATTTTCCAAACTATAACCACTCCCCACACAAATATCAACACAGGTTTCCACAGCATTACTTACACGAGCCCAGAGGTCAAACAGTTCATGGGGATCAATGGAGTGAATCTCTCCACCGAAATTGATGAAGAAATAAACTCATCCATTCAGGCCGTAACAAAGCAGGGACATAATACAGGCTGTGGTCCAGACACTGTTCAGCTGTGATAGCCTACACATCAAGTAATATGGACTGTAGTCCCTCAAGCCTGCAACTAACTCAATGGTGAATGGCAATGTTGGTTATAGGGGGGTCGGTTGCCCTAGCAACACATTAATAAGAGTGAAAATTAACTGAAATTTGATTAGACACAAGTTATCACAGCCAACACAGTGTAATGTATTGTGTAAATATACATCTTGAACGGAGGTACATCGAGGGGGGGAGGAAGAACAATATTGATGGTGGTGTTAGTCTGGGATCGCAGGCTCTTTGTGCAATGGCACAGTTGGAATGAGTTGAGTACCAGTAGAAAATTGGAACGTTAGTTTGCTAACATGAAATGCCATGACACAGATTTCCTGTTTGATTTATGTATGTCTTAAAATCCAATCTGTTTTGTTGTTCTTTATTTCAATAAGTTACAACAGATTGGTATGTGTTATTGTTAATGTGCTTTGTGTTTTGAAACCTTTGTAAAATGTATGTTATCTTTTTTTGGATTTTGGTAAATTTATTTCAAAACCAAGAGGTTGCTGAAATATAAATGAAATTGCAAAAACATGTTGATGTTAGGAAAGAATTGAATTTAGCTCTTTAATTCAAGAAAAAAGAAAAGAAATATATATGGTGCAAACATAAAGATTGACAGGTAGGGCAGAACAAATCAATTAATTTTCATTCAAATATTTCAAATCAGTGAGGCAGGGAGCATTTTTCTGTTTTTCCACTTTAAAACAAATTGTTCAAAGCATCTGGGAACATTAACTACTAATGTATTTGATTCACAAAATGAAGCATGAATGTTTTTCATAAGACTATGAAGGTTCGGGGGTAGGGGTATTTCATCCTGTGGAGAAACAAGGGAACACTAATTCCAGTTCTCTTTGTAAGTACTTGGAGCAAATTAAGGTGTGTGTGTGTGTGTTAGTGTTAGTGTGTGTGTGTGTGTGTGTTATGGAGTGAGTGAGTGAGTGTGAGTGTGAGTGTGTGTGTGTGTGTGTGTGTGTGTGTGTGTGTGAGGCAGGAGGGATGAAAATCTAATTCAAATCATTACGAATATAGCCTTAAGAATTTGTTCTTTTAAATAAGAATTCTTGATCAACAAAATATTTGTCGTGTCTTCAATGTGCAGACTGCAATGTCAGCCTGACAATTAAATGATGCAGTGTTTGAGGATGGACTCATTGCAGCTGTTTACAGAATTTCAGCTATATCATTCATGGCCATTGAAGGAACAATCACCTTTCTGATCAATTTACAGTTCCATTATAAAAACACACATGTGATACAAGTGATGTTTTCCGTCTTTGACTGGATATTTGTTTGAGAAAACATGTTAATTTTGGTGGCTTTCATCAGTGAGTAGGTGAGTTGGGTTTAATGCCATTTTTAGCAATATTCCATCACTGGCCTTCACACATTTGACCAATGTGGGATCGAACCCACCCATTCACCCTTAAACCACAAGGCTACCACACCGCCCCCTTCATCAGTGTGTCCCCTTCCATCAACACTATATAACAAACATTAACACAAAACACCATTGTGGCATCAATATTTCTTTATTCATATTATGATATTGACACAGTCTGTGAAACCATAAACTGTTTCCTATGAGCTTATGTACATGAGCTGAGATTGTGTTATGTCCCTACAAGGTAAGGTTATGTACAGCAGATTGACACATGGAAACAAAACATCAATATGAAATAGACTAGACTCGGAGGCCACTGTTACATATACCTTGTGCAATGCACACGAAATATACACGGTAATATTTAAGTTTGACTAAACTCAGAAAACATTTAACCATATTTCTTGTTTCATTTAAGCACTGAGGTAATATTTTTTTAAACCATAACATGACAGTATAATAATGATGGTGTCCCATGATTCAAACCTATTCTGATATTTATTCCCATTAACCATGAAATTTTGATACTTTTTCATTTAAAAAAACAGAATGGTAAACACATATCAAGGTACATATGCACTTAAAAAGCAAACTGAAATTTACAGTTTTTGCTGTTTTTTAGGTGAGAATGGTTCATGTCAAGCAGCATACTTCTTGAAAGTTGTAAATTAAGAATTCAAAGAATTTTAACAAAATATTCAGTTTTGTTATAGGCCATTTTGGAAGCATACTGGCATATCAAGTAAATGATATACAGAAAAATTTAATATTTATTTAACATTTAATGCTTTTTGACACATGTTTTATCATTTCAACCTTGTTCTCAATATTTTACAATTATGAACTTTCAAAACTACTGACTGAAATGGAAAATGTAATGCGAACTGATAACTGTTTTTGTAAATGTCACAACAAAGATCTTCCAAAACAATTACGCTTCACCTCACAAAGTGCAGCAGAAACTTCATAAATATTCTTTGACTAGAATAGAATATATATTTCATATACTCGTATCTTTCATGTTTCAAAAATGTTTTCTAGATATTGCTCGTACTTTTCCAGACAGTCAAGAGTACCTATACTGGTGATATTTTCATGGAGATTGATATTTAGAAATTTTCATGAAGAATCAAATTCCCAATTTCGGATGCTCCTGCACTTTAAAACTTACTGTATAGTATTCTCATAAATATCCATCCTCACAACAGATATAGAGTTCAATCATGTTTACCAACAAGCATGAGAGAAACTTGAAATTCACTTTGAACTTCAGAATCAGGCAACTTGACAATCCAATGCCACATGAAGTTGTAAATTCACCTATCATTGTCAAAATCATGCTCGGCCAAAGATAACTTATTAAAAATGTGGTTTCCAAATATCAAATACCTTGGCCATAAACTGCAGTGCATCATTATCAATGTTTCGCAGTGATATAAGCGATATTAAAAAGCTTGTTTAATTACTGAAACATTTCATGTGGACAAAACTGCAGTCATTAATATTATGCTTATATCCCCTCACGAAAACCTAGTGTTAACTCTGATTTTCAATGATCATTCGTATAATTGTCCCCGCTATTTTGCCTTGGCAAGCCTAATGAAATCTGTGTTTTGGCAGATAATCGAACCTGATTATTCTCTGGCCTATGTATGACCTCCTCTGAGGGCAAATTCAAATTTATTTAACTGAGACAATCTTTTCAAGTCTGAGAAGAATGTGACTTCCACACAAGTGCCCTACTTATTTTGAGTCTCACGAACCATGAATTTGTTGGATTCTGCGACTTTGTCAAAGAGTGTCTTACACAGCAACAGACAAGATTAATATTGAGCGATATCAAATCCATACCCCAACCAAGGCCTGAGCGAAATAAGTTACACCCCATTAACATTCGTCACAGAAAGTAAATAGTGTCAATGACAATTTTCTAAGCTTCAATTCAATCATGTTTAGCTGGAGTACCCTGTGCCCTCTTGGTAGAAAATTTGATGGGATCGAATTCCTGAATAAATACTATCATGAAGTACTTGTCAAGTGAATTGTGAATTATTTTTTGGCACCTACTGACCCATAGAGAACTAGTTGACAGATCTGTCAATCACCTAACATAAATAGGGCTCCCCTTCTTTCTGTACAGCTGTTGTGGTGTACAGGTACTACCAAACATTTCTTAACAATATTTGTGTGTTATTGATAGATACGAAATTGAAACTGTTATCACACTGTGAAAAGCAGATTCACCAATGAAAGAACAGAAAGAATATGACCTTCACTAAGATTAAAATGCTACTTTGAAGGAAAGTATCTGTAACAATTTCAAACAGAGTTTAATATGTCAAAAATCAATATGAAACAGCTTAAAGGTGAGTATTGTTTTAAGCCGCTTTAAGCAATATTCCAGCAAGATCATGGCGGGGTACACCAGAAATGGGCTTCACATATTATGCCCATGTGGAGAATCGAACCTGGGTCTTCGCTGTGATGAGCGAATGCTTTAACCACTAGGCTACCCCACCGCCCCAACAGCATAAAACACAATCACAGACGACTAATCAGTTTCAAAGCCTCAGTTTATTTGTTACACAAGAAAGTCTGCAAGACAAATTGCAGATAAGAGTACGCCCACATGACTAGATATATTATAAATAAATATGTTACCATTCCACAGAGTCAACAATGCATCATTTGAGCTCAGTTCTTGCATTAATATTGTTATAAAACCAGATGATATATCTCATATTTACAAGCATCCAATCCATTTATACAACATCCATTTGAATCTTAAAACCAAAGGCAAAAATATGTAACTAAATTTCACAAATTTCAACAGATTCCTTTGACAAAATTTCAAAAGAAATAAACACTGCAATTGACTTTTGGGAATTCTTAATCTGTGAATAATGATCTTAGTCCATATGAGACTGTCAAATGTTTTGTACAATGAACAATGTTTCGAATTTTGTATATTTAGAAAACTTGCAGGACATGTGTCTCAAACATGTCTAAAAATGAAAACTCAAAAGTTGGATGAGTTAAGGTGATGCCAAATTTCATTGGATCACCTTGATTGGAAATACTGCCTGAATATCAAGCAGTTCCCAACCATTCTTGAATAAAATGTCAGCATTTGCAATGGTCTGAGCTCAGTTTATAAACACACATTCACACATACATATATCCCTAGTATTCCCATAATGCAATACCTCCTTCCAGTTAACTCCAATTAAACCGTCTTTTTAATATACGGAATAGTCTTTCATTGTGGGGGCGAAAAAACTTTTTCATTTTTTTAATCACACTCGGTTCCAGATCTGGATGCTTCCGTCCTTTACTAGCACCCAGACACTTCTCCGCTGTCTTATTGAATCTCATACAGTAAAATCCACGAGTCCTATTGAAGTATAACGTGTTGTACGTTATACGATTTTCAATCCCAAGAAAATTTTCAATCTGGGAGATTTCCGAGACAGGGTCCACTATTAAGTTATCCCCATCCACAATATGAATTTGGTCCTTGGAAAATGTGGAAAACCATCTCGGAAAGAACTGATGATAAATACTGATCTGGATGGCCCTGTAATGGACATTAATCTCCCCAGTGAAGGGGTCCAGCACAAGCCTCTCAAAATCTTCATGGGTCTCATTCCGTGCCAGTTTGTTGTAGTATATTTGGGTATAATCAGACACCACACGAGTCGTTGGATTTCGTAAAATCACCAAGAGTTTGATTGAGCTGTTCAAACTTTTAATTCTGTCTGGCACACTTGGATCGATGAAATATCGTGGAGTTTTCTCGACAGTGTACTGGTTGCTTAATGTCATCGGCATTTTCTTCAAGTACCAACTAAGACCTTGTCCATAGTTGTCTCTGTCGTCAAAAAAATGAACTTCTTCTTGCGCAATTTCCACAGTGGGATGTAGGTCCATAAATTCTAGCAAAGCCCTTGTCCCACATTTTCGTACTCCAATGATAATGCACTGAGGCAATCTCTGAATTTTCTCCCCCGAGTGCAATTTTTCCGCAAGACGTGCGCGTTCCTCAAGAAGCTTGCGGAATCCACTACCTGTGATGATGTTGTCAAGAGGGTGTGTGTTGATGTTGAGAGACTCCCAGATGGCGCTGTTGCAGTAGAACACCACATAGAAGAACAGCATCAGTGGGATCCCGACAAGCCACAGCCTACGAGTCCGTCTCATGATGCTGCGGTCAGAGTTGTCACTGGACGCATCCTTTTTCAATATTATGGCTTTGGCAGAGCCTAGCCAACCCTTAGCTTCGGTAGGCACCAACGACATCTAGGCCACTCATCTGAAAGACAAATAAGACATGATATACACTGATGCGTCAAAGAGGTTGAAAAGATTTCGTGTAATATAATAATAATATAAGTTATAGCAGTTTCATGGGGGTACATGTGGTTTTATGCATGCTACGTTGGGTTTTTTACCACAAGCCGGACAGGTTTTAATCTGCCATTGTAAATGAATTAAAACATGCTAAATTTATAGAAAACAGCTGTTCGAATGAGCTGAGCTTAACATGCTTTAGTCACATGAAGTTCATTGACTTGAGTGAGTAAGTGACTGAGTGAGTTGGGTTTCACGCCGCTTTTTACAGTATTCCAGTTATATCACGGCGTGTCAGCTTAATGTGGGAGGAGATCCCAAAGTGATGCAGGTCTCAGACGTTTACCACTTTGGTGAAACCCACGAGTACGGGTATGGTGCTGACAAACCTTGAAACATAATCAGGGCGAACCAGGATTTGAACCCACAGTCATAGGTTTTTGGCCTTAGACGACTGCGCCACCCGTGCCCCCTTCATTGTCTAGAAAAAAGTGTTCAGCTATTTGCTTCGTGATGGGGTATAAGGGATTTATTCTCCTGCTCACAAATTTATTTCCCTCCCAGGCAGGATACAAGATCATGTGAACCAACACTGAAGTACGGTAACTGTGACATTACATCTGCCAGGATACTTGGTAAACAAGAACATTTTGAAGCAAGTGAGTGAGTTAGTTGGGTTTAAACCAGCTTTGTGTTTCAGTAGTATTACAGTATGTCAACTTGATGTTGGAAGAAAGCCCAAAGTGACAAAAGAAGATACATAATCAGGGTGAGCAGGATTCAAACCCATGACCATAGGTTCCAGGTACATCTAAGGGACACAACTGTGCACAGTGAATTGCAGCACCTTAGATGGCTGGGCCACCATGCTCCCATGCTCATGCTAATATATTTGGGCTTAATATCTTTGAATTATCTAGAGCCTAGGTACGATAACTATTTGCCCTAAAGATAAAAAAAAAAACGGAAATATTTTCTGCTCATAAAAGTATGCCATCTTAAACCATGTATCAAATACTTCAATTAAACCAGGTTCCACTGGATATCGAATGTGGTCAGTGAGACTAACACAGACATATGTTTAAAAAAAACCATAATAATATAACCTCCAACACAACATATTACTAATAGTGAAAGTACATAACATGACTGTTAATATTTCCACAGGGAAAGAAACAACACAAGAAACAGATCTAGAACAAGGTCATACAAAGGTCAACAGTAAGCCTCACCATACACCTCTGTGGGGAAACTGGAACTTGACAAGATGTGGTGATCCCATCAACATTCTCTGTTATCCTACAATTTATTTCTCATCAAAATACCACAATCAACCATGACTTCAGTGAAAACAGTCACCCAATACTCAAAACTCCAAGGCTTTGAACACACTTCTAATTTTTGCCACAAAAAGCCAAGCAAATCAAACTCCCAGGCGCTTTTCTCCGTCAATTAACTTCCGATTGAAATACCGAAGTAAGCTGAACTCTCCAAATCCAAAGCACCTAAACTTATCAGGAAAACACAGAAAAAATACAACTGTTGGAAGGTGGAGTCAGGACAACTTTTTCTTTCAGCACAAGTATAAATGTCCGTCTGAGAATGTATGTCCCAATAAATCACAAACCTGCTCCCCATGGTTATCTCCCTTTGTGGGGTATCCCCCATCCTAGACTTGATGGCATCACCAGATGGTCAAAGGATAGCATTCCAGTTACTCTGAGCTTTGTCTGAATGAGTGAGTGTATCGTACCACCATTTCAGCACTATAACAGCTGGGAACATCCACCAGCAAGGGTCTTTACACAATCGGAACCATCCTGGTCAATTAAATCTGGATCAGTGTCCTTTCAAGCAAATACTTACACACGCCCTGCCAATTGCCCAACTGATAAGAATCTTTACATATGTCTAAAAAACATCACTCAATGTCATCATCTAATTGGCCTTTCAAGCAAACACTTAAAACACAGAGCCTCAAACTGTCCTTTTGAGAAGAAACTTTGCATATGCCTAAAACATATGTCTAAAAAACATCACTCAAAGTCATCATCAAATTGTCCTTCCAACCAGTGCTTTAAACACTGGGTCATCGAATAAACCATAGAGTTCTTTTGAAACCTTATGTCTAAAATACAATGCACAATGTCAAATATGACTACAAAATGCACATACATTTATCATGCAATAGTCCTATGATGAGATACAGGTTCCTTGTAACCTCAGTGATGATTAAGCTCTCTGCATTATCCGTAAATACAGTAAGGATTCCACAATCCTAATGACATTCACCAGATGGCAGAAAGGTAACTGCAATGATCACTGAACAGAAAGAAGCTCCAGTTTCAAACAAACATATGGATAATGCAATAATAAATGCAACCTTCTCCAATACAGGATGATTCAATTTCCAGATACCCACCATCCCATTTGCACATGAGGAGTTTAACTGTGCATATTACCTAGAAAACCGACAAAATATGTATGTGATGTACATATAGTTATAATCTTTTGACATTTATCTTCAGAAATATTAAAATATTAAAACAAGGCATCTTAAAATGGTTTCCCCTTCTCCAAAGCCACCATGATATTTTAAAATGGTTCTCCTGTTTCTGACACCACCCACCCAGCTAGCCATCATGTTACAGTATACAAATGTCAGACAATATGGAGATCATATGGATCAATACTGACCTGATCAGACAACTCCAATCAGCATCAACACAAATGTCTGGAGTTTTTTAAGCCACATCAAAGACTTGGATTGTACACCAAGAAGTTGAAACAAAACAAGGCTTTCATTCATACTGTAAAATCTATTTACCACATGACCATGAGCAGGAATTCTTACCTCCATTAATATCAGATCCTATGTTTAAAACGAACAAGATCCAAAATACGACATTTCAGTGCAAGACAATCACAGCAAGAAGACACTACCGTCATGAGAAGATGAAATCACAATCTACCGAGAACAATGATGTCTTTCATCCAAATATAGTAAGGGTCAGGACCAACCTCATCTCCAGAACAACCTCAACCCGACCCCACAATACTAGCTTCAACACCCACCAGCTAAAACCATTTAGTACTATTTGTTCTGGAAACCTGATCTCCATCATAAAAACTGAACACAAGACACTAATCCCTCTCTACTACAAAACGCCCTTCATCATTCCGCCTAGCTCATGCTAATTCCAAACTGACCACACACCTTTGATGAATCAATTAGCCAGCATATGTTACCTCCATAACGCTATGTAATATGTGTAGAAGGTTACTGCTTGCTTGCTCTAGCACTTCAGTGAACATTGCTGCTTCAATCCCTCTGTTTTCTAAGCTGCTAGAACAAACAGATTTTAATTGGTATTCTTTGAGGAAGGCTTTAAGTTTTATTGAATCCCATTTTTGTCAATATTTTATGACAATGGCAGAACTGTTCCCAATTTCTTCCTGCGACACAACGTTACTTTGTGCAATTAGATCAATTTGATAACACTAAGACTCTATTTGGCTCCTGGTGGAAAGTATTTGAATTATTCGAGACAGACATCATCAAAGAGTCTAACTGTTACAAATATTTGGGGTATCATTTCTTTCACCATGAAGAGAGTACTTATTACAACACATATAATAAACATCTTTGTTATAAACTGTACTCTAAAACAAATAAAAAACGTTGATATGGTGATTTACTGAGTTCAAAATTAAGCAGAAATGACAAAGGGTTCTTGTCATAATCTTTATGTTCAAGAATTAGGGGGTTCTTGATTAGGTGAGATGAGGTGAAATGATGTCTAACATCGCGTCCAAGATTATTGCACTTATATAGCGATGTGCATGCACGTGTATGTGTGTGTGTGTGGCTGCTTGTACTAGTCTTGTACTAGTCTTGTACTTGTACTGCTTGGACTGATGCCGATTTATCGTGCTAGCACACGGAGATACCATGCCGCAGTTTAACATGAATACCCCACTCAGACAAAGTATACTGACTCCGAGCCGACCAGTCCTTGTTTTCGCCCCTTAATACCAAGCACCAGACAGGGTAACAACAAGTACCATCTTTTAACGTCTTTTGGGATGACGCGGCTGGGGATTGAACCTCCGACCTTCCGCTCTCCGGGCGGACGTTCTACCATCAGACCGCGGAGGCGGTGGGGGTTCTTGATTAAATACCCCAGCCACAGCAAACATGAAAGAATCCAGAACACCATAATTCTACATACTGCTTGACTTTTCTGGTTCCACAATACTTGAGTGAGTGAGTGAGTATGGTTTTACGCCGCTTTTAGCACTATTCCAGCAATATCACGGAGGGGGACACCAGAATTGGGCTTCACACATTGTACCCATGTCGGTAATCGAACCCGGGTCTTCGGCGTGACGAGCGAACGCTTTAACCACTAGGCTACCCAACCGCCCCTCCACAATACTTGAACAATCTTAACACTAAAGTAATGTTACAGCTTACACCATTCTCATTCATTTATTGGCATAAGTGAACATAATAAAATTTCTTCGGATGAAATAGATCCAGATCCAAAATACATTGTTCCTGTTTATATAGAACCAACATCAAAGCAGAATAATAATCTCATGCCAATGTATCTCATCCACTTTGATTACATCCTCGTCAACGGACACTTTATCTCAACTGTCAAATTTATTGATATTTCAAACACATGTCACCACCTCTAATTTAGATTCTTATTCTTGGAGTAACCCCAGTATTATTGATTAATACCCAAGTAGGTATTCTTCTCCACCTCACACTGTCACCATAATTGATGTCCAAATTGATAAAAATATAATTAACCTTTGTGACCCATCTGCCCATGAAACATGCACAACCTGCTGGGAGCACTGCATGTCACTTTCACCGGATCGTGAAATATGCCAATAAACTGGAAAGGGTTTTACTTTAAAAGAAATCTATCTTCCCTGGGCACTCCTGAC